CATGTTCACAGCACACGACGCCGGCCACCGTGGAATCACTGGCAACTTTGTCGCAGACACACTTATCGGTGCCTTCATTGCAGACTTTTGCTGCGGTCTTAGTATCGGCTGGTGGAAGTCCAGCCACAATGTGCACCACCTCGTCACCAACATGCCTGAGCACGACCCCGATATCCAGAACATCCCCTTGTTCTCCACCTCTCCTACTTACATCAAATCCATTCTGTCCTCCTTCTACAACTTCCAGTTTGTATGGGATGCAGCGTGCGATGTTATGGTCCCCTACCAAAAGTACCTGTACTACCCCATCATGGCCTTTGCTCGTTTCAACTTGTACTTCCTAGGCTGGTTGCATCTAGTCTCTCCGCGAGCTGCGCAACTAGGCGCAGCATGGTGGACACGACATGTCGAAATTCTCTTCATGTGCTGCTACTGGTACCTCTTCGGCTACCTTCTTGTCTGGATCACACTGCCTACATGGCCGATTCGTGTCGGATTCGTCATCGTCTCGCACATGGTTACCATGGTCTTGCACGTACAAATCACCCTCTCTCACTGGGGCATGCCCACCTCGGATCTCGGACCCAATGAGTCTTTCCCTCAACGACAAATGCGAACCACCATGGACGTCGACTGCCCACCGTGGCTGGACTGGTTCCACGGCGGTCTACAGTTCCAGGCCGTCCACCATCTCTTTCCTCGTGTGCCGCGCCACAACCTCCGCCGAGGCCAGGAGCTCGTCCGCGAATTTTCCTCCAAGACTGGTGTCAAGTACAACTGCTACGGCTTTGTTGAGGGCAACAAGGTCGTCATCAGTCGCTTGGAGCAGATCTCGCAGATGGTCAAGATCATGGTCGAATGCCAGAACCACATGGCTGAGACTGGTGAGAGCGGGTTGCATTAGTACGCGCAGGCGCGGAATCTAGTTTCCTTTTGCTGGTGTGTATCAGCTTCATGATGATGTGTTAGACTTATAGACCTTATCTCCTTTGTAATGTGCATAGTTAGCGAAAAAGAGGCTACATCAAGAACACTACGAGCAATATACACGATATTTGCATATTCTACTCTTTGTGCATGTTTCTCCCATGCGATCTTCTTAGGCCGACTTGTGAGATGACAGAAGAATCATGTGTCAGAGTTCACTCGAGCAATAAGGGGCGCGTGGTCGGACTGACCCGTGTCTGTCATCGCACGGTCGTGGATACCGGATGTCTGGTCTCGCAAGCCGAAGATGCGCGCGTCCTGCCTGCCAAGTCAGGAGAAGCGGCAACCGAGTCATCTAGAGTTCGGTAAATATGTATAGTCAGGTAGCCCCCGACTCATGGACTCCGAGCAGCAATCTGCTTTACTTTCATCTCCGACCTAGCTGGCTCAGTAGGCGTTGTCGGGTAGCTCCGCTGCCTCTAGCTACTTTCAGGGTCAATTTTCTCGAGCATACCGAGGTCGTCAATGCCCAGACTTTACTACCTACTAATCACCAGCAATGCGGTATCCTCATTATGGTGCTCACATTGAACTATACACACACTGGCAGACTACGTGAATAGCAAAGTAACCCTACCCTCAAATGTATATGATGTCGTTGAGTAAAGGTGGATCGGTGACGTACATTTCTTTGTGCTTTCCGGCTACGAAGCTCAGAGTCACTGCCCCTCGACGATCCCTGGGTGATTTGTTTGTGCAAGCGGTCGGTAATTACACAGTACTCATGGGCCTACCTCCTGCACAGCAAAACGACCAACTAAGGTAGGGAATTCGGCTTATGCCAAACTCAAAGAGCCTAGTGACGATTCACTTACGAGCAGCAGAGAAGCTTATTGCCGTAGATTATTTTGGCTCAAAACTGTGTGGTCCCCTTGTCTGCTGGATTTGACATTTTGATCTACACATACTAATACAAATTACGAAGTCGGAAAGCCGCCGTCGAGTGTGGCAGGTCCCTATTTGTTATGCAGTCAGCAAAGGCGAAACGGTCGCGAACATAAAGCGTGGAACGTACCATCCGCACCAAGTTACGGTTGGTGATCTTCCAGCTTCCATCCTTCTGCCTGGCCCACGTGTCTTGATACTGAGCCTTGTCGATCAAGACCTTGCTATTGTCTACAGGGTTCGCAACGCCGGTGTAGGGGGTGAAGTAGTGCGTAGCCTGGAAGTATGTAACGGACACAGCGCTGGTAAGACTGCAGATGTGAATCAGTTGCGTGCCGAGGTGATGCTGAGTGGAGACAAAGTTGTTCAGACCGGGCGCCAGGTTGTCAATGATGGCTTGTACACCATTCAGTACACCGATGGGGTCAGAGTAGTTGGCACGGGCGTCAGTAGTGAACACCTTTCTCAACACTTCGTAGTTGCGACCATCGATGGCGAGCGCATAGAGCGCCAGGGTCTGACGAACAGATTCCGTCGCAATTGGATCAGGGAGAGTCTGAGGCGTGAAAAGCCCCGCCAGATAGCTGAAGCTCACCGGCCCAGGTGCAATCTTGGGGCAGTCGTTGTTGCCCACACTGGGGGATGCGATTGAGGCGCTATCGTTGTCTTGAGCTGAAACAAAGGGTAAAGCGAACAGAGCCGCAATGTGCAGTGTGGATGCGATGCGCATTTTCATACAAATACGTAGCAAGGATGTGGGGTTGGGATAGGTATGGTTCAGAAGAACGTGGGTGGAACAACGAATCAGAGTCGAGCAACCAACTAAAGCCTTAGAATTTGAAACAGATACTAGATGGTTGGGTTGGTAAATAAGTTTCGTGCTAAGGGTCGATGCCAGGAAGAAGTAGCAGAGAGTGAGAAGTTGTTGATGCCGGTCGGTGGTACCTATGTATCACGCTGTAATCCTACGCTAACGGTATTTGATTCTCACGAACCAGTACCACGTTGATGGCTGATTCTGGATGTCAGTACAGTCAGATCTTTAGACGTTGAGACTGACAGCAAGACTGAAGCAACATTGCCTCTCATGCGGGGCGTATCTTGGCGAGATTGGGTGGCGGGGTATCATTGCAGCGATCAGGCCGTACCGTACCTCAACCTTTTCCAACTTTTATCGCAACACCTGCATAGACAATGCATGTCTTTCACGAGTGCAGTTACCTAGATAGGTCTAAGTAAGTAAATGCGTGCTCTGGAGATATTCTGCAGCGCTTCTCCTTGACCTTTTGTTCGTGCGTTGTTTTTCGCATGGGATGCTGCCTAGGCACGTGAAGGATAACGTACAGCGCAAGTTCTTCTGAAGGGAAGTTCTTTGTCGACGAAGTGTACAACAAACATTTTCCTGACGTGCTTGCTTCGATTGCGATGGTACTTAGGTGCCATCTTCGCCAACCGGCTAACAACGGCGGAGTTTTCCAGAGCCACGAGCACTCTTCATTTCACAATCGAGTCAAACTGTATGGAAACGCTCTTCCGGTGCGAATAGTGACTGACTCAACGATTCAGGGACTGCTGTAGGTCGAACTAGTGTTTTCGAAATGGCCTTGTAGCTTTCCAGGCCTATATCTGATATTAACAAGACAAGAAAATCTTCAGCAACAATTATATGACTCCCATTAACCAGCTCTTCCATGTTGGTTCAGCCGTTCCAAGGTTACGTTACGATTTGTTATTTTGCCGATATTCGATTTGGAAGAGCTGAAGGGCATGCTTGCTATTGGGGACATCTCGCTAGACAACATGAATGAAAGAAGGCATGCCGAGGCACTGAATAGCGACCCCCGTAAGGATTGAGCAAGATACTCACCAATAGTGCCTTAGCCACTCGCGGACATTCAGTCACGGCATCGGAGGGAGAGTCTCCTACTTATGTTGAGAGCAGTTGAGGTTCGTGGTAGGAGAAGGGGAGGCAAGCTTCGGTAAAGATGAAGCTTTATTAGGCTGAGAAGCTAAACCTTTGAAGATGTATGCTACTGAAATAGATGGGGATCGTCACCAGAGTGAAAAGCCGCACTTCATGAGTATTAAAGTGGCCCAGGACCATGTCCATTTGTGGGCGGGAACGTCTATGAAATCCCATTATAACAACGATACTCGAATGAAATACTGACTATAAGTATAGATTGCACTTTGGCATGCTGCTCGAGTAGCTGAAGGAATGGGGTGAGCCTCAACGAGAAAACATCAATCCATCTAACCACTGGCACAGTGTATAGACACAAGTACCACGCCGATACTTCTAGGGATATCGATACAACACGATGACCCATGTTTTGGCAAAAACACGATGTCCCATTCTTGGGCTAGGGAGCCTGCTTGATATGGCAAACAACTCAACGAGACTGGCCGCGAGCAGGCTGCTGGTTCGACCAGTGGGCGGATACATTGATGGCCATGGATGGTACCTGCGTTAGTTCTGATGTCGTTCTCGGTAGCTGAAGCTCCAGGGCCGACTCGGCTTTCGCCTAATATGCGGTCCTTCGAATTCGCATTCTGGTGCTGCCTTCGCTTTCTCCATCGTACCAACCATCTTCGTGCTCTATACTGGGACATTCATACGATTTCAAGCCGACATGAGCAGATATCTACCTATTTCCGAAGTCTCTTCTTCGCATCGTGAATGACTGACCGGACAGTTTGCCTGTTTGGTAAACACCAACTCCACTACCGCATCCACATCCCATGTGCCAAGCATCAGGGCCACCCCCAACAGGCTCTTGCACACTACTCCAGCGTCACACTCGGTAAATACGCCTACTCAGGATTGTTTAGTACCAATCAACTACCTTGCGGCGCAAGTTTTTGCCTTCTGTTACGGAAACTGAGTACCGCAATGTCCACCGCCAAGTCAATCCGCCGCCTTGGCTCGGTGCCCAGACATGTAGGTGTATGCTATGATGCAGCAACCCAAAGGTAAGGAATACAAAAACTTCAGCCCGGAAGTACCAGCTTGAGTTCTTTACCCTACTGCCTCTCACGAAACATTCTATTCAAGTCCTCGTAGCACTCTCGTTACCGCGCACCCAGCTCGACAAGATATCTACGGTCATTTCTACAAATCCATCGATATGAGGTTCTCAGTAATTGCTCTCCTCGCTGCGGCTACCGCCGTTGTGGCACAGGACACTGTATCTGTGACTGCCGGTGGTGATTGTGAGCCTCACGGCGACCACTGGTAAGGAGACATGAACATATATATGTTTTACAGATTCAAACTGACAGCATTCAGGCACTGCGCCGACGGCGTTCCAGAGCCTACTACCCCTCCTACCCCAGAGCAACTCGCTTCTCATTCTGCTGAGGAGGCTGCTGAGGATACAGCTGCTTCTACCCCTGCCTCTACCATCGCTTCAACTACCCTCACCGTTGTCACTTCTGGATCTGCCCTGGTCACTGCATCCGCATCCCACAGCCACGACGATGAGGACGACCACGACCATGAAGCCACCGCCAGCACTTGCGAGCCCCACGGTGATCACTGGCACTGCCCTGCTGGCGTTGCTGAGCCCACCACTGCCCCCGCCGAGACTGTCTCTGGTACTGCTACCGTCACTGCCAGTGGTGACGCTGCTGAATCTGCCGCTGGTACCTCCAGCGCTCTCCCTGAGCAAACCTCTAACGCCGCTGTCGCTCTTGGCGCTGGCAAGGTTGCTGCTGTTCTCGGTGCTGCCGCTTACTTCCTGTAAGCGCGGATTAGCCTGGACAGTTTTGTTGACCTTTGAATGCATCCAAGCCTTCAAATGAGCGGATATACATGTGACGGATCATCATATCCTGACTACATGACTTCACTGTACATAATAAGATACCGGGTACTCACGACGATATCCTGTCTCTGAATCGAACGATAAAAACTTCTGTGTTAAAAATTAAGATTCGGTCTATTGCTATACGTGATGACTTGGATTAAATCTATATCTTATACTATTCTACTATTGACTCATGTCGATTGCTAAAGCATACTCGAGAGTCAGCCAAATCGTGCGCTTCAGCATAGTTCTTGTCACATTGTTGATGATGAGTCCCGCAGTTGTGCTTCCTCCGAGACGTTCACCCATATGGGCCAAACGGAAACTGGATTTTGAGGTGTGATCGTAGAGCAAACATACCTTCTTTCTTTGAAATAATAATTTGCCTATGAATGTTTTGGCTGGGGCTTAGACGTAGCTCCCTGAAGACAAAACGAAGTGTGTTTCGCTCTCCACAACTAACATGTGTCTTGTCTCGTGTGTTGACAATGAGAAAGTCTCAGGCGCATCGATAAGGAACAAAGTCCGGCCATTATTCGACAAACAAGCATCCTTATAAATGAAGATGATCAAAATAACATCTAGGGTTACATTCGTTGCACATATCCTGCTATCGTTCATGAAAAGACACCAAGTTTGAGGCAAGCCACACGTTATCTTACCATACTCCAAGACCGATTTTCTCGTTAGGAAAAACCAATCCACACAATCAAGCACGACTCTGAAGACGAAAGTGAAACTCACAATAATGGCATTCTCCTGCATCTCCCACATCTTCATCAATCTTACAACACCAACACAACCAGTCCATAAACCCAACCACACAGGTCTCATCCACCAAGCCTCTCTCCCAACAAACCCACCTTCCACATTTCCTCCCGCACCCAATCAACCCACAACAGCTTTCGCTCCCAATCTTGTATCCGGTGCAACGTTTCGCGAGCGCATGCAAGAAATCTTGTCGGAACCGCGGGCAACAGAACGGATCGAAACACAAGACGAAGACAGGGGAGAAGACGGAACGAGTTGGGTTTTAGCAAACAAGGATGTGGACGGATGGGATGTTGGGCGTGAGAAGGCTACGCAAATGTTTGTTAAGAGGAAGGGGAGGGGGGAGTTTAGATTCGAAGACGCGATGGTGGAGGGGTGGGGCATTGGATTGAGGGAGAAAGAAGCGAGTTATCGCGTAATGGAGGAGTGTAACAAGGACAACGAGAAGGAGGTATTGGATAGGCAAGAAATGTTGAGAGACGGTTTTAAGTATCGGGGATGGGTTGATGAGGAGATTCAAAGAAATTAGTGAGTGAAGAATAGCAAATCATATGAGAGGGAGGTAGCTGGGAACACTTTTGAAGGTGGAGATCATCTTCCTTATGAGGTAAAATGTCCACCGGAGAACAACGATGGAGGGACATAGGGACAGAGTATGACAGAACAAGTGTCACATGCAGGTTTTGAAAGATGATCAATATGCGTAATTATTCACCAGAGAGCAGGGACTTTCTCAGTACATAGCAATACGCGTTAGAACCCGACTTTCTTTCTCTTTCCGTGTCAAGCGGTTGTTGTCGTATCTTAGCTGTCGTGATGATTTACAAGTGGTGGAAGGTACGTGTCGCATTATGCAAGGGGAATTTGCGTCCGAACCGCTGACTCTCTCGCCCACACTTCACACCAAAGATCGATTGAAGGACTTTTCTGTAGACTGTATGGTCCAGAAGAAGACTTGTGACCGTATACTCGGGAACTAAGCGCTACTGTCGTCCACCGGACGTGTTTAGGGACCACCTGTGCCGCATCGCTTTAACTCGTTGAATAAGAAGAAGACGGCTAGATGGTAGTCTAGATCTCATGATCCACTATCGAATTGCGTGTCTACCGTGTATCAAAGAGGGCTACGACATACTGGCGTATCAGGGGCGATGCGCGAGGTGTCCCTTCGTGTCGATTACACCTGAAGGACCATGACGCCGCACGCAACGCGTGTGAACGGTGTGTTATTATGCACATACATGCATAATCAACGATACAGAATGTACTATTGAGTCGTTAACACATGGAATGGGCGGCCGGTAGTAGGAAATGCCTGCTTGCCTGGATGGCACTAAGAGAAGTATATAAAGCTTCTCACGTACTTTTTCTCCCATTCTCATCCGTCTCTTCTTATATTCTAATCGTTAAATCTACAATCTTCACATCTTCAAAGACATACGACCTCATCATGAAGCTCCTTAGCTTTACTTTCACGATCTTAACGCTCGCCGCCACCAGTGCAGTTGCAGCACCAGCACCTACCTGTGAAGGACGCTACTGTACGGTGTACCCCGAACCATGGTCTGGTGTCCGCAAGAATGTGTCAGTGGACTGCAAGACCAACTCTGTTTCTTCTTTCATTTGGTGCGTAGGAGGATGTGAAAATGGTGCCTGCCTATGACCGAGTGGCTTGACTTGATTATCGTGGAAGAAGGTCAGTACGTCAAAACCACTGTGAGCAACAAGCATTGAGACTGACTAGCAGTAGAACTCAGAAGAAGCTAATGGAAACCTTGTGGTAATAGCGAAGGCTGATATCCCATTCTTTGAAAGTTGTAGAATGGGAAAGTGCCGTAGAGGTGGTGTGGTCGAAGTTCATCAAGTTCTTCTCTGTGGGGAATGAAATGATAATCTACTAGGTCGACCAAAGCATGCAAAGATGTAGCCTCCGAAGCAAATTGCCACTATCCTTTCCAGTCTTAAATTACGAAAGAGCGAAGTACACGAGGTGAAGCTCTTTGACCAATGCCTCGCATGTGACTATCACTTGAAACAGGATCCATGAATCCTGTTACTTGGAGTCAACGGCCACGGCAGCTGGTACCGGTAAAGAACTGCATGAAAAATATCGTATTCCGACCGTCGAGCACCAACAAACTAAGACCAAGACAAATTACAATGAGACGGCTGAAGTCATGAGTACTCCACGGTATTGACGAACTGAACGTGTCGAGTCTGAACACAAATATAGACGATGAGGAGCCGCAACTACAGATCGTGTGGCCAGATAGAAGCGAGCTGACTTGGCACAGAACCGAGACTACTACCGTAATCAGGTAAGTTGACGCGTAAGGTGACGTATACCTACCCTTCTTAAGGCGGAATGTAAGGTTGACGACCGATACTATCCGTATTATCAGTGTTGCATACCATTGTGTTTGCGGACGCGGCTGTGTAAAACCCGAATAATCTATCTTGTCCATCCTAGGTCAAGTGGTATACTGTGCCCTACCCATGGAGCAGGGTTCAGATGTTGGAATGTTCTCAGTCGCCATGAGGGGCTGCTGTTACGAACAGATAGACAGGACCGTGATTCATGTTAGCGCCCTACACTCCCTATGACGCTGATTGACCAGCGCGCACCAGATACCAACAAACGATCTGCATCCGCACTTCTATTTCAAGCCTCGTATATATGCAGTCGTCAAAAATGCCGCTGGACCTAACGTCTGCAGCCGCTGAACCTCCCGCATTAAGTAAGGGTGCCAACGTACCAACAGGCCCTCCACACCCGCATGCTTTTACCGATCAGATGAGTTCTTCTAGAAGGACAGTGGCTTCCAGAAGGCGGGAGCCGCCCTTCAGTAATGCACATGTAGATCTATTTCAAGCCGTTCGGTGCTTGATGTACACTCCGATCTCATCGAAAGAGAGCGGAAGGAGCGTGCAGCATGCCATCGCATTGCAGACAGCAAGCCCTGTGGAATATCATGTATGTTGCCATGGACGAAAAGGTACGTGGTTATTGTTATCAGGCCACTCGAACGCAGGATGGTCGTCATGTGTGGTAATTTGAGTGCATGGTGGCTATCCCTAGGGCCGGGCCATTGGAAAGATGGGTATCTAAGGCCAAGGCCGTGCCTGCGGTAGACTGATCAAGATGACCCAGGGTCATGGCGTGGCTGTCCTCAGTGTGACATTCGTGTTCAGAAGGCGTTCAGTTGTCGAGCTGGCTGGGCCTATGGCAACTATTTGAGCCTTGTCGCGTCTATTGGATAGTCTAGAGCAACGTGGCTCTGCAGTACCTTCAGGAGCGTTGGATTTAATAAGACGTGGTCTGACATCGTGATAGTGCAACCAAGAGGAGGTGGGAACAGTGGAGCGTAGACGTCAGCCACAGGCATGCACCCAGCCTGGAGTTGTGGTGTACTGTGCTATCACGCTTTGCGCGATAGGCGTTGCGAAGCGTAATTCAAGGTATGCAAGTCCGTGCGATATTTCCGTGTTATGGAGATGGCATGGATGCAGCCCATTTGGCAAGGCTGCAGTTTTATTGAGGTGAAACGAGTGGGACATCCAGACCTCGGGCGATCAAAGCGCTGTTCGTAGCGGGCACAGTGACAGGTCAAGCTGGCTGAAGATACTTTGCAGGAAGAGTCGCGAGAGGCTGCAAATCATGTACGACTGTGGCCATAACGCGGCTACTCTTGTGAGTTATAGTGGGACAGTGCAGAGTTGCCCAGGGTATCCAGGGACGATGCCGGCCTGCAAGCGTTTCTTGCTCCTTGGGTACGGGGACGACCGCTTTAGACGTAACGGGCGGCAGACCGACATGACCAGACAGCCAAACTATTGAAAGTATCCGACCAGAGTTTCATCAACAAGGTCCATCAGGGTCGAGCGCGAAGACCAAAAGACGATGCTGTGTCCAGCCAGGTTAAGCTCCGGAGGATTTGTCGGAGCCTAAGTGCGACACTCCTCCATCCAGCAGAGCGTTTGACATGTGCGCGTGGTGGGTTCGCGGCTCCCAATCAATGAAGGGTGAAACCTCCGCCTTCCGCAAACTCTAATGGCATGTTACTTTTGTGAGTCGCTCCAGCGGCGGATAAAGCGGGTGGTCTCATGCATGATTCGGCGGTACGTGATCGCCACAGGATTAAGCTAGACATGGACATTCGAGGACA